TTCACACTGAGCTGCCTCTCTGCCCCTTCTTATTTTTTGTAGTTTTTTTTTTTTTTTTTGGTACCAGGGATCTAACTCGGGTCCTTGTGCTTGCAAGGCAGGTGGCAGAACCACTGAGCTAAATCCCCGGCCCCATACATCACCTCTTAACTAGATATGGAAGAGAGTCAGGATTTGCCACCCCCAAATATGCCACTTTAGCATGAGGATTGTTTTGAGCTGAAAGCAATTTAAAATCAATAGATGGGCCAGGTATGGTGGTGCATGTCTGTAATCCTAGCACTTGGGAGACTGAGGCAGGAGGGTCACCTCGAGTTCAAGGCCAGCTTGGGCTACATAGTGAGTTCAAGGCCAGCCTGAACTACATAGTGAGACCCTGTCTCAAAAAACAAACAAACAAACAATCAGTAGATACGGAGTTCTCTCCTTTTCTGCCTGAAAGCTAAGCATACATTTTCCTCCTCTTCTGTACCAGGATGGGGTCAGCAATCTTTTATCACTGAAAGCTGGCACTGGGAAGAGTCTGCACAAGAGATCTTACTAAGATAACCCTTACCTTCCATTAGTTTCCTCCATGTGTGTCTTAATTACTTTCTCACAATTTATTGCCCTAAAAGCCCAAGCCACTTTTCCTTTTTAAATTAATTCTCCACAATCTACCACCCTTTATTTAAATGGTATATAAACTCCCAAGCACAACTGCCTCTTTTTGTTTCTCACTTCTTTTCTGTGAAGCTTCTGAGCACTAAAAATACTATCATCAAAACAAACTGTCTGGCTTTTCTCCTGCTAATCTATATTTTATGTTTAGTTTATAAGCCCCAGCCAATAACATGAGCAGACAGAGGAAAGGGTGTCTTTTCCCGTCTTATAAAGCATTAATTTATAGGGCAGATATGTGCACAACAACAACAAAAAAGGGTTATGAAGCAATATCAAACAACAGAAGAGTCAAACTTTTTATAATTTTCAGTAACAATTAGAAAAGAAAAACAGTGAAAGTCTACTGAAGCCACAATGCTTGTCTAAGCGTATAGTTGGAAGGGGACATTTTGTGATTTTTTTTTTTTTTTTTTTGGTACCAGGGATCAAACTCAGGACCTTGCGCTTGCGAGGGAGGCAGCAGCACCACTGAGCTAAATCCCTGGCCCATGTGATTTGTTTTTTGAAAAATCTCCCATTAATCAAACCCTATTTTCAGTGATACTAATTACCTTAATGAATTCAATATAGTCCTCATAAGTGCCCTTGGGAGGTGCAAAATAGTTTCCACTGGGAGAAAACTTATAATGAGGGTTTTCAGTTATGTGTATGTTGTAAAAGTCAGCCAGCATGGTTAACAGGAGGCGTCTATCCCAATCATCTGTTACTCTTCCTCCATAATTACACTCTCCAGTCAGGTAAGAGATAGCTTCAAATGGAACTGTATCATATTCATTTATAAATAGCTGAAACAAAGGAAAATGAAAAAAGAAAAACCTTTATTTCTTTTACTTTATTTCCATGTTAAGGTGGCACTACTTATCTATTTACACAGAAAGGGGCTGAAAGTTTTATCATCATAGGTTGTCATTGAGTACCTGGAATTTAATGTCATCTTTTGAATTTGTTTATCTGCATTTCTCTTTTTTTTTCTGAAATAAATACATATTGTTTCCTTAATGAGAAAAACATTTAATAAAAACAGATGACATGGAATGGGATGGGGGTATATAGCTCAGTGGTAGAACATTTGCCTAGCATGTGCAAGACCATGAGTTCAATCCCTAGCACTGCAAAAAGAAAAGACCCCAGAAATAGATGACATGGAAATCCAAATATTTTTAAGATGTGAATTTGGATCAACCTTGTTTTTGGATAAGCTGGAGTCTATTTTGTCCCTGAGGGGACATTTAGCAAGGTCTAAAGATAATTTGGATAGTCACAACTGTGGTAGAGTGTGGGGTGCTACTGGCATCTACTTGGGTAGAGGCTTGTGATGCTGCAAAACAGTGGTGTTCCCAGCCTCAAATGCTATTAGTGGCAAGGCTGAGAATCTGGTGTTTGGTTTAGGCACTTTTCATGATGTGATAAAAACAATTTCAAACCTTAGTGGCAGCATCTAGTTCATACTTTATGACACAGTTCCACTGATAGGCAATACACATTGTTTCTAGTTTCCTTATTACCAGAATAATAGTCATAAAGCAACTTATTTACATAGTTGCACATTGTCTTACTCATCTCCCAGTAATGCTGAAGAGCAGAATATAGTCAGGAAAATATGAAGTACGTGAAAACCTGAATGTATTTCTTTCAGTTCTAGATCCTATACTTTACCCAATGTACAGAAATTTTAGGTAGTATGTGTATTGAGATGGTATGTTAATGATTGATAGAGAGCTCTTCTGTTTCTAAAATTTAGCTAATAGTGCAGAAATTAAAGCAGAAATGGTATAAAAATTGAAAAAAATTTTTTCTAAATTCTCCAGAGGAGAAAGGAGGAATAAGTAGAATAGATATGTCATGTATAGGAACCTAATAACCTCAATTAATACAAACATTATATGCTATAGCATGCGCTAAGATTAATAGTATCAACAAGGATGAAAAATGGGATAGGGAAATTGGAGGAGGAGGGAGGAAGAGGGAAGGGGATTAAAAAATAAACAAACGGGCCAGGGATTCAGCTCAGTGGTTCCACCGCCTGCCTCGCAACCGGAAGGTCCTAAGTTCAATCTCCGGTACCAAAAAAATAAATAAATAAACAAGCTGTTATACATAAACGTAACCACTCCCTAAGATGACTGTAAACTGCAAACATGTACTAATACAATACAAAATTTAATGAAATAAAATCAATGTTATTTCATCATATAACTACAGTTCCATAAACACTAATTTCAACTTTTTTTTCCTTCGATACTAGTAATCATCCCCAGCCCAATTTCAACATTTTTTGTAAAAGTTTTCAAGTTAACAAACTCATTCCAGTTAAGTTTTGTGGGGTTTTTTTGCGGTACCGGGGATCAAACTCAGGACCTTGTGCTTGCGAGGCAGGCAGCGGCACCACTGAGCTAAATCCCCGGCCCTTCCAGTTAAGATTTCTGCTGTTATTTTTCAGAGTTGATAAAATATCAATAACTCCTTCCCTTCCTTTCTTCCTTTTTCCCTCCTTCCCTTCATCTCTTTGCCTCTCTGTGCTGGGGATCAAATGTAGGGCTTCACACATGCTAGGCAAACACTCTACCTGTAGCTTCACCTTGAGCCCACAGACTATAAATGTTTAATTGTATTTAAAACCAAACTTCATTTAAACATTGCAAGATTGTTTTATAGAAATTATGGATATTGGCCTGGGGATGTTGCTTAAGGGTCAAATGCTTGCCTGGCATACACAAGGCCCCTGGGTTCAATTCCGGGTACTGCCAAAAAACAAAAACAAAAATCACACACACAAACACACACACACACACACACACACAAAACTTGTGGTCTTAGAAAAATTCACCCAATTGAAACATAATACCACTTAATATGCCTTTATCAACACTTTCCTTTTGCCTTCAAGAGATCACATTTCATAAAAGTTTTTCAGTACAGAAGAAGAGAATAAAAATATATTCTGGGGTTGTGTGAAAAACCTGGCACTCAGTTTTCCAAGCTCCTTTTACAGCTAAACCCTCTGCCTGTGACCTGGGCTTGGCTACTCAGATGTATGTATCCACCCTGATCTAACTGGGGAGATAGGATACAAAGAAGCAGAGCAAAAACTCTTTGGATATGGTCATGACATCCATCAGAAGGTCTGGAGTGAACCACAGTTTGTGAGACAGATATGTAGGCTACCCTTCCTTCCTTCCTTCCTTCTCTTTCTCTCTCTCTCTCTCTCTCTTTCTTTCTTTCTTTTTTTGTACCAAGGATCAAACTCGGGACCTTGCACTTGCAAGGCAGGCAGCGGAACCACTGAGCTAAATCCCCAGCCTGCAGGCTACTATTTCTAATATTCAGAGAGGGTAGAGATGCTGCTGTAACAGAACGTGGAGTAATTATGGATATAACTCTGGATACCTTTCCTTTGAGCCTGGTTCTCCAGCTATCTTGGTGATTCTGAGAGCTACCCAATACCTTTTCAGTAAATCACTTTTCTGCTTAAAGTAGGCAGCTTCCTTCTGTTGAGTGATAGATCTAAATTACAGAGTTGACTGAGTGGAGGAGGAGAGTAGAAGACAGGAACCATATAAAGCCAACACTGAGAAAGGCACTGCAAAAAGGCAGAAAGGATCAAGGTCCTTGACAGCACTGTTGCTGAATCAACCAACCCCAGAGCTTGTCCTTTTTCTGCACCTGGATCTTTTTTTTTTTGTACCAGGGATCAAACTCGGGATCTTGCGCTTGCAAGGCAGATGTGCCGCCACTGAACTACATCCCTGTCCCTGCATCTCTTTTTGTATGAGATAATAAATTTCATTATTGCATAGCCAGTCCAAGTCAGGTTTCCCATTACTTGCAGCAGAAAGAATTCAGATGGAACTTTATAAACCACAGTTATTACAACTATCTACTGGGGGCGTTGGAAGAACTGAATCATTTACTCTGACAAAAGCACTTGCCTAGGGCCTGGTAAATAGTGATCCTTCATAAATGTTAGTTTTCCCCCAATTTTACCTGTAGTTGCCGGATACTGATGCGTAAATCGGATTCATTAAATCCATATGGGATATTCCAACCAAGAGGACCAAATTTTTTTCTCTCTTGTACAAGGGCATGAAAAAAACAAACTCCAAACAGCAACTTCTCCCATGCCTTTAATGTAAAAATTAGAAAAAATTCTGATCAGATTTCCATTAGTAAAATGAGAGGAATAGATGATCTTTTTCATTACAAGATTCTATGTCTTTGCAAACTTCTAAAGTAATATTTACTAAAAAAAGCATCTAATGACTTAATTTAAGTCTCCAAAGCTAGACAAGCCACAGTAATATTAAGCTTTATTAAAATTCAATATTACCATTTTACCAAAGTATAGGCTAGTAATACCTTTGTATTATTCATAGATATTTACAAATTCAATACTCAAATGGTATCCTATACACTTGCTGGAATATACCTGAGACTGTAAGGAGGATGATTAGTCATTAGGATATGAATAAATTCCAATATATGGCATATGCCTATAATCTCAGCAATCACGAGACAGCAGGAGGATTGCTGAGAGTTTGAGGCCAGCTGGGGCTACATAGTCAATTCAAGGCCAAACCTGAACTACAAAAGTGAGACCCTGTCTTGAAGAAAAAAAATCCTTCTATGTAATTCCTTATTTTATTACTTTTCATTTGGAGATCATTTTGAAACCATTGTTTATTTGATCTACCTATAACAGCTTCACACAGCCTTTAATATAGTTGTCACACGGCCTTTCACTAGACCTGTGTCAGCATTCTGGAGGATGGCTGCCCATCTCTTTAAGGGCCCTCCAGATAAATTTCAAATACACTATGATATGTATTTTAAGTTAGACCACCTCAAACATAGTTCCAAATCCAGCTACTTTTATGTAATGCAGTAGTAATTTATTTGTTTTAATTTAAATTTTATTATTTTGAGACAGAGTCTCACTCTGTTGCCTAGGCTAACCTCAAATTCTTGGGCTCAAGTGATCTGCCTGCCCAGTCTTTGGAATGGTGAGGACTACAGGCCTGAGTCACCACACCTACCTTTTTACTTTTTTATTAAAATGTAAACTGGACATAGCAGCATGTGCCTATTGTCTCAGCTGCACAGGAACAACATAACCTGGGGAATATAGCAAGATTCTGACTAAAAAAAAAAGTTAAAATGCAAGTAGGCAACATCTTATTGAAATGCTGTACATAAATCAAAGTATATTTTAAATATGCTAGATCACTAGTGTGGTAAAAGCATTTGATAAGAGAAGAACCTTTGGCAATGACAGCAATTACTTAATTTACACATATTTTCCAAATACTGTATTTTTACATAATGACTTTTCTTTTTTTGAAACGAGGTCTCACTATGCAGTTTAGGATGACTTCGAACTCACTATGTAGCCCAAGATGACCTCGAACTCACAGTAGTCCTCCTGCCTCAGCCTCCCAAGTGCTGGGATTACAAGCATGTGCCACCATACCTGCCAACATAATGGGTTTTCTTAAGATAGGGATCATCATTAAAGTTTTGGAAAACTAAATAGTTGCATATGCTTCTGTCTTTGGTCTTTATTTAGATTGGATCTCTTCAAAAGCAGAATTTGAGAGAAAGATTAGAATGAAGGTGGGTATTATGGCTTATATCTAGAGTTTCCCCAAAGCCTCATGTGCTCATAGGTGGGGCTTTTGGGAGATGGCTGAATCATGGCTGTGTGATACTGGATTATGAGTATGTGATAATTATATTAGTCTTATTAGTTTAGCATAGTTCTGTGTGTAGGTAATGGAAAGGCCCACCCTGGGTGTGGGTGGCACCAGGCAATAGGCTTGTAGTCTGGATGGAATATAAAGGGAAAGAAGGAAGGCAGGCTTGCTACTTCCTATCTCCTGCCTACCCTGCCATGGACTGTTTCTCCTCTGTCATCCCCTTCTGCCAATGCCACCCTACCTTGGAGTCAGCCTACTATGGACTGAAACCTCTACAAAGTGTGAGCTAAAATAAACCTTTCCTCCTTTAACTTGTGGGTGTCAGATATTTTGCTCCAGCAACAAAAGAGTAACTAAGACATGCAGATTTATATATTATTTTAAAAATGGGAGTGTGGTAATACTTAATGGTGTTGTTTTGAGGCTCATATATTTAAACTACCTGCTTGTCTTAATTTTCTCATTGCTGAGATAAAATACCCAACACCTAAAGTTAAAGGAGGAAAGGTTTATTTAGCTCACAGTTTACAGAGGTTTCATTTCATAGTTGGCTGGCTCCAAGGCAAGGTGGCATGCCAGAGGGGTATCACAGAGGAGAAACAGTTCATGGTGGACAGAAGGCAGCAAAACAGCAAAGTAGTGAAGAAGCATCAAGAAACCACAGCAGCCCTTTTTCTGTCCCTTATATTCCTATCCAGGCTACCAGAGCAGGTAGCATTCACACTTGGGGGAACCTTCCCATTAACACTCCCAGAACTATGCCAAACCAATCAGTGGGCTAATTTAGTAACCACACACTCTTAATCCCAGCATCACACACTCTAGATCCAGCCACCTCTGAAAAACCCCACCTATAACCCTTTGGGGGGACATCTAGACACAAGCCATCACGCTGCTGATGCTCAATAAATGTATGTTCCTTTTCTTTCCTTTCATCTTTGTCTTTCTATAGTTCACAATACTGTCATGGCTATTGAGAGCAGTGTTTTTCAACATAGTCAAATACGTCACTTTCTTTTGTTATTTGATTATTTATACTAGTTCTTTATTTTTTTTTTCCAGTACTGGGGATTGAACTCAGGACCTTGTGCTTGTGAGGCAGGTGTGACACCACTGAGGTAAATCCCCGGACCTATACTAGTTCTTTTTAAATGTTTTGATCTTGTTTTGAAATGATTTTACTTTATTATGGTAAAACATTTAACGTGAAATCTACCCTTTTAGCACATTTTTAAGTGTACACTATTGTACTGTTAATTGTAGGGACAATGTTTTATAGTGGATCTCTAGAACTTCATCTTATATAATTGATTCTTTATGCCCATTAATATGTAACTTTCCATTTCCTTTCCCTACAGCTTCTGGTAACCACAATTACACCTTCTGATTCTATGAATTTGACTATTTTAGAATGCTTATATAAGTGGAATCATACAGTATTTCTCCTTTGGTGACTGGTTTAATTTACTTAACACAGTGTGCCCAAGTTTCACCTATGCTGTTGCATGTGGCAAGATTTCTTTCTTTTTTAAGTCTGTACATACCCCATTTTCTTTATCCATTCTTCCACTAATGGGCATTTAACTTGTTTCATATCATGATTATTGTGCTGCAATGAATAATGGAGTACTAAAAACTCTTTGGGATACTGATTGCAACTTTTGGGGATAAATATCCATAAGTGGGATTGTTAGATCATATAGTAGTTCTATTTTTAACTTTTTAAGAATCTCCATACTGTTTTCCTTAGTGGGCGTACCATTGTACATTGTACTGTGATACTCTACAAATGTTCCAATTTCTTCACATCCTCACCAACTCGTATTGGTTTGTTTTTTATAGTAGCTATCCTAGAAAGTATGATATATCTCATGGTGGTTCTGATTTGCACTTCTCTGGTGACTTGTGTTAATCATAGTATTAGTCACATTTCTATTGCTGAGACAAAATACTTGAAGGAGAAAAAGATTATCTTGTCTCACAGTTTTCAGAGGTTTCAATCTATGGTCAGCTGGCTCCAAGGCAGAAACATGATGGAAGAGTATGGCAGAGGAAATCTTCTCAACTTATGGCAGCCAAGAAGCAGACTGAGAAGGAAAGAGCTTGGGAAGACATACCCTTCAAAGGCATGTCCCCAGTGACCTATTTCCCCAACCATGCACCAGCTCCACAGAGCCCATTCAGCTATAAACTCATTATCATGCCCATGATCTAACTGCCTTTCAAAAGCCCTACCTCTGAACACTTGAGTATTCTGGGGAACAGTTTTTATCCAAATCATGACAAGCACCTTTTAAAATATGTGTTGGCCATTTATATGTCTTTTTTTAAAGAAATATCCATTTAAGTCTTTAGTCTATTTTAAAATCACATTATTATTTTTTTCTATTCAGTTTGAGTTTCCTGTATATTTTGGAAATTAACCCCTTATCTAATATATGGTTTTCAAATATTCTTTCCCCTTCCATAAGTTGCCTTTCACTCTATTGATTGTTTCCTTTGCTGTGCCAAAGCTTTTTAGTCTGATTTAGTTCCATTTATCAATTTTTGCTTTTGTTGTCTATGCTTTTAATGTCATTTCCATAAAATTATTTTCAAGAGCAGTGTCATGAAGCTTCTCTTCTGTTTTCTTCTAGAACTACAGTTTCAGGTCTTATATTTAGATCTTTAATCCATTTTTACTTGATTTTTGTGTAGAGTTTAAGGTAAGGGGTCTAATTCTATCCTTTTGCATAGGAAATCCAGTTTCCCTAGCACCATTTGATGAAGAGGCCATTCTTTCTCCACTGTGTAATCTTGACACTAGTATCGAAGATTCAGTGATGTGTGAGTTGATTTCTGGGCTTCCTGTTCTGTGTCATTGGTCGTTATGCCAGTGTCATACTGCTTCAATTACTGTAGCTTTGTAGCACATTTTGAAATTAGGATGCATGTTGTCTCCTGTTTATTCTTTTTCAATAATATGGCTATTTGGGGTCTCTTGTGGTTTCATATGAATTACAGAATTATTTTTCTATTTCTGTGGAAAATATCACTGGGATTTTGATAGAGATTGCACTGAGTCTATAGATAAGTTTTGCAAGTTTGGACATTTTAAAATTATATCTTCTAGTTCATGAACGTGTGATGTTGCATCAGTTAGGGTTCACTAAAGGAACAGATTTAATATAAAATATACATGAATTTTTTTGAGACAGGGTCTCACTCTGTAGTTTAGGCTGGCCTCAAACTCTCTATATAGCCCAGGCCGGCCTCGAACTCATAGCAATCCTCCTGCCTCAGCCTCCCAAGTGCTGGGATTACAGATGTGCACCATCACACCTGGCAAAAATATATAAGGATTTACAAGGTAGGCTTACAATGACTGCCTGCAGAATCAGGTGTGGAAGTGTGCAAAACAGGAGTCTGCATGATGAGAGCTGGAGGATCCAGTCAAGGGTCAAAGACTTGAAGCTCACTGCAGAGTCCAATGTGATCTGTATTAGGAAGCTGGAGGGTCTGCACTGGGAGGCTGAAGAGTGTGCTGGAAGCCTGGAGATGGATGTCCAAAGGTAATAGTGAAGACCGGACCTCTGGAGAAGCAGAAGTGAGACTTCCTTCTTCTTTACCTTTTTATTCCATCCAGCCTACACATACTCAGGGTGGGTCTTCCCTCTTTCTGAAGTCCATCATCCAGACATATCCAAAACTGTGCTAAACTAATCAGGCATTTCTTAATCAAGTTGACACCACAGTTAACTATCACAGGTGTGTTTTCCATGTGTGTGTCTTCTTTAGTTTTTTTTTTTTTAATCAATTCTGTGTAATTTTCCGTGTACAAATCTTTCATCTCCTTAGTTAAGTTTATTCCTAAGTATTTTATTCTTTTTGGGACTATTTTAAACTGGGGTATTTTCCTAATTTCTTTTTCAGATAGTCTGTTGTTGGTGTATAAAAGTACAACTGATGATTGTAGGTGATTTTGTGCCCTGCAACTTTACTGAACTTGTTGGTTAGTTATAGTAGTTCTTTTATGGAGTTTTTAGAGTTTCCTAAATATATGAAAACTTTTTCTGTTGTGATGTGGATTCCTTTTGTTTCTTTCTCTTGCCTAATTGTTGAGTGACAGGAGCAGACAAACTTGCCTTCTTCCCTATGCTAGAGGAAAAGCTTCCAGTTTTTTCACTTTTTAAGCATGATATTACCTGTAGATTTTTCATATATGGCCTTTTAAATGTTGAGATAATTTTCTTTTTCTTTGGTTTTTGAGATAGGGTCTCACTATGTAGCCCAGAGTAACCTTGAACTCACTTTGGTTTGTTGTTTTTTTTTTGGGTGCCAGGGATCGAACTCAGGTCCTTGCACTTGTGTAGCAGGCAACGAAACCACTGAGCTAAATCCCCAGCCCTTGAACTCATTTTGTGTCTAGTCTGGCCTTGAACTCGAAGCAATCCTCCTGCCTGAGCCTCTGGAGTTCTGAGATTACAGTTGTGTACTACCATGCCTGGCTAAAGATAATTTTCTTTTATTCCTTATTTGTTGAGAGTTTTTTATCATGAATTTTATTTATTTATTTTTTATTTAGTAGTACTGGGGTACAACCCAGAGCCTTTGCACTAAGCTACATCCTCAGCCCTTTTTAAAGATTGTTCTATTTTGAGACAAGGTCTTGCAAAGTCACTAAATTTCCCAGGCTGGGCTGGAATTTGTGATTTTCCTGCCTCAGGGTCCCAAGGTTCTGGGATTACAAGTGTGCACCACTATGTCCAGCTACGAATATTAAATTTTGTCAATTTTTTTCTATATCTAGAATCTTTTTTTTTTTGAGATGAAATCTTGCTATGTAGTCCAGGCTGACCCTGAACTCACTATGTAGCCTAGGGTGGCCTCAAACTCATGATCCTTCTGCTTCAGCCTCCCACATGTTGGGATTACAGGCATGTGCCACCATGCCCAGCTCTTTTCTGCATCTATTGAAATAATCATGTGATATTTGTATCCTTCATCTTGTTATTGTGTATGCATCAATTGATTTTTATAAGTTGAAGCACCCTTGCATCCCAGGGATAAATCCTTCCTGGTCATGGTCTGTGATGTGCTATATGTATACTAGTTCTTGAGTCCCTACTTCAGAATCTTACGAGTAGGGCAGTGACATCTGTAGCTTTAAAAAGTCCTCCAGGGTTTCAGGGGTTATGGTTGAGTTTGCCTTCTATGGGTTTCCTTCATGGAAATGTAAATCCCATGAAGACAGAGATTTTTACATGTTTTTGTATGTTTACATGTTTAGTGCCATATTACCAGTTCCTAGAAGAGTGCCTTGTATGTAGTAGGTATTTAGTGACTATTTAATGAATAAAGACATGGAAATGTATCTCTGTTTTTAGGAAGATATAACAGTATAGGAGACAGATATGTAAATTGACAATTATTATCACTGCCAGATAATTGAAATACTCAAGATATCAACAACCCGTGACCATAGAGATCATATTTGCTTTTTAATGGACAAATGATGATAGTTCAAATTATTATGGGCCCAATTTTCAGAAATTAGCAAGGCATCCCAGCTATTCTGGGAACCTCCAAAGGAAATTGATATATGCCTAGAAGTCCTAAGACCAAGGTTTTGCAAGTTTTCCAGGATCAGCAGCAGCAGTTTCACCTGAGAATTAGAACTTAAAGGTTTAAGCCCCACTCCAGGCCTACTGAATTAGAAACTCTGGGAGTAAGGCCCAGCAAGATGTGTCTATACAAGTCCTGGGTAGATCTAAGGTACACTGAGAACTGATGTCATAGGGCATTTACACTCTTTTTCTTATCTTGCCTAAGCTTCTATTTGTTTTTACTACCAAGTAGCTGCTTGGTGAAGCCTTACCTATTGCCACTGTTTATCATAAAATTCTGGCATACGGGAGGGGTGCTAACTTTGGATGTCACTCAGATCCTAATATTTGGGTAATCAACATTGTTTGCTCAATATTACGATACAGAGTGCTTCCTCTCCAACACGGCACCATTTTTTTGTTTTGTTTTGTTTGAGATAGGGTTTCACTATGTAGTTCAGGCTGGCCTCGAACTCACAGTTCCTGCCTCAGCCACCATATCTGGCTATACAGCATCATTTTTACTCGAGCCATCTGAACTCTGAGCTGTTTATAATTCTTTGTTTCTTTAATTGCAGAGGTTCAAACTCTGGATGGGGAATCAAAAACTACAGTACCTTCTCCATTTTACTAATCTCTCTAAACTACAAAGTATTCCCTCTTTCTTCTAAAATTATAAATGAAATTATTATGCAGAAGTAGGAGCACACTGTTAAGCAGAAGGATCTGACTTCCCTTATTTTGTCTTTAATGTCACTCTTTTTCTAGCTCAAATAGGCAAATATGAGAAATAGTATACGTGGGGATGAGGGAAGGGAGATGATTTTTCCCTAGTACTTTTTTCTTCCATGTGGAGAAACCTCAACTAATATCACTCCTAATTTTTCTCCATTCTTATACTTAACTTGCAGAGAAGAGAGGGTAAATTTGCGAAAAATTAACCAGACCGGCTTGGCTGAGCTTCTCCCTTCTCTCTCTTAGAAGTGAGCTTCTTGCAGGGAACTAAGTTTTCCTTTATTCCTTTAGGTGGATAAATCTTAATTCTGGGTTTCAGTAATATGCAACCCTTTTGTTCACAGATAAAAGCTTCATCTTCCAACCTAACCTATATCAACAATTGTGGTTAGAATTAGCATCTCCCACATATATACTTTTTCCTGTTTCTTAACTGGTAAGAATTCAGATAGAGGGCCAGGGATTTAGCTCAGTGCTTTTGCAGCCTGCTGCACAAGTGTAAGGACCCAAGTTTGATCCCCAGTACCATTAAAAAAAAAAAAAAAAAAAAAAAGAATTCAGATAGAGAAAACGAGTGCTATTTATTGGGACTCCCTGAAGTTCCCAATACCATGAGCAAAATTATTTTAGATAAATATGCTGAAAAACATTATTAATATGCTAAAATATTATCATTAGAATTTAAGTCCCATGAAGGCAGATTTCCTTGTGTCCATTCTGTTCTGACTGCTTTGTACCTAGTACCTAGGATAGTACCTAACACACATATTTGTTGAAAGAATGAATAAATGATGTAAAAATATATGTCTATTCTTGGATCTTAATCAGAAATACTATTGTGCTTTGGTTTATAAACTAAAATACATTCATTCATTGAAAAATATTTATTTCAACATCTGTTATGTAGTAAGTAGGCAGACCAGAAACTATCGGGAGTAAAATAATAAATAAAACAGGAACAATTTCTGTCTCATTAGGAAATGCATAAAATTAAAAAATTAACACACAAAAATTTTATGTTAACTTATTAAATAACTATTAAAACATAATTTAAGAGTTCCAGAAGCTGAATATTACCTGTTCTTTTCCTGGGCATCCCTTAAAAAAGTGAACATCAGAAACTGGATCAGTGAGATATGATTGAAGAAGATTTAGCCGCAGACCGGTGGGAGGTTCATTGGTCATTTTTACTCCATTCTGTAGAATTGTTACTGGGAACTAAGACAAAATAATTGGAAATTATTTTGCAAGATAGCAATTATGGATCCTAAAATATAGACACTAGTGGATTAAAAATGGGTGTAGTAGAAGACTCCAGAAATATTTTAAATATATCTAAGGTGAAGCATCTAAAACTCAAGATGCACAATGTAACAGACAGCTGAATGAATGCACTGAACTCTATAAAAAATAAACATACTTTTGGAGATGGATAACTTGTGAGCCAAAGCCTAAAGGATGAGTTACAGGTTTTGGGGGAAAAATCTTCACATAGTTTTTCCAACGTGGGCATCCAGGAGACAGCAAGGTGACAATTCTGTAGGCAAACCCAAGTTCCTTCTTCTACTGCTGCTTTAATCATTTTTGTTGCAATTGGTCCTTGTCCCTGTCCCAGTGAAATAGCTTGAAACTTATTTCCAGTCATAGATTTATCATTTGCAAATTTCAGCAGGCCTACAAGGGCATTAAAAAATGGTTTCATTTCTTACTAAAGATACCTTACAATTTCTGTGTTTTATCATAAAAAATTCTAGTTACCTTTCCCTATAAATACCAAACTTACTTACTGATTCACAGTCATATAACAAATGCTCATTGAACAAAATGTTTTATTTGTAATTTTTAAAAATTTACAGTATATGTACTTACTGGCCATAGGATCTGCTCCTGGAGACAGCACAAAAATTAAGGGAGTAGTACAGTTGGAATCCAAATAACTCTTCGCCAAATCAAATGGTGGAGGCTCCACAAACTTTTTCCCTAATTTGTCAGTTACATAATTTGTTATAGCTGGAGTTATCTGATGTAGAAAAAGAATATGGCTTTTGGAGTAATTTTTATTTCACACAACAGCTTTGGTTATTATTGAAAAACAAAAACAAAAAAAATTTTAATCTATCAGACAAGAAAAGTATGCAGCATATTGTATGAGAAAGCACTAATTTCCTTTAAAAAATTTTTTTTTTTGTTTTGGTTTTTTGAGACAGGGTCTTGGTATATAGTTCAGGCTGGCCTTAAATTTACTATGTAGCCTGGGCCAGCCTCAAATTCATAGGCAATCTTCCTTCCTCGGCCTCCCAAGTGCTGGGATTACAGGCGTGTGCTACCACACCCAGGTAATTTCCTTTTTATGTAAGAAGTATCTATAAGTTGTTAGGACAAGGATCCAAACAAAAAATGGGCAGAGGAGATGAACTGCTTACAGAAAAAGAAATACCAATGGATCTTAAACATATGACAAGACTCAAACTCATTCAATATAGCAGAGACTACAGACTTTCATCTTTAGCTCCTTTTGGTAATAGAACCCCATGGTTTTTCCATTTCTTCCAGCTAATATGGACATGTGACTAAGTTTTGGCAAGAGGAATACCAGTAGAAATTATATATGGAAATTATATATGGAACCTCCAGATCATATTTTATAAGGAAGCTGTTTGCTTTCAGCACATTCCTTCTTCCACAGATGCAGTGTTCATGTTCTAATCTTACTGATGGGTATCACACCCTAAGGGGCTTTTCTAGCATGAGAAGAAGAACCTGAACTTCTGAGTGATCTCAAGAATGAAGTGGCCCTACTAGTCCTTAATCATTTGCCTCTGGGCTGTTAGGAGAGAAATTAACTTTTATTTTATTGAAGTTACCATATTTTAGGACCCTTTTTATAGCAGCTTAGTCTACTAATATAATATTATTATATTCATAAGAAAATTTTAAAATTAAAACTACACTTAAACACAAGTTTTCACTTATTAGATTACTATATACATGAGGCAAAGATGGCCTGTATTATGGTTTGGAAATGAAATATCCCCCAAAAGCTCATGTGTTGAAGGCTTGGTCCCCAATGCAGCAGTGTTCAGAGATAGGGCCTCTGGGAATTGACTGACTCATGAGGGCTCTGTCCTCATTAATGGATAACTCATCAATGGATTAGCCCACTATGAGATTTACAGTTTAATGGGCTATTGGGAGGGGGTGGAATTTTGGGGAGGTAGGTTCTAGCTGGAAGAATTAGGTACTGGGGGTGTGCCTTTGAAGGGTATACCCAGCCCCTCACGCCCCACCGTTTGCTTCTGGGCTGCCATGAAGTGAGTACATTTGCTCTCCCACACCCCTCCCCACCATAATGTTCTGCCTTGTCATAGGCCCACAGTAATGAGGCCAAGTGATCATGGATTAAAACCTCTGAAATCATGAGGCAAAATAAATATTTCCTCCATTTAAATTGTTTTTTCAAGTATTTTATCACAGTCATGGAAAGCTGACAAATACAGCTTTTGAATCCATGATACCCAGACATTCAGTCAAATAATACTCTATATGTTGCAGTGAAGGTTTGTTTGTTTTTTAGATGAGACTAACAATTTAAATCCATAGACTTTCAGTAAAGCTGATACTCTCCATAATGTGGGTAGGCCTCACATAATCAGTTGAAGGTCTTATGAGAGAAAAAAAGGACAAAATCCCCATGAGAAAGGGTACTTGGTGGGGTGGGGGCCCTAAGGATTGCACCCAGTGCCTCACACATAGTAAGCATGTATTCTACCACTGACCTACACTCGCAGCCCAGAAAAAAGGCCTTCTGCTAGAAGGCTGGCTGCATTTGGATTTCAGCAGCAGCATCAAGTCTTTCCTGAGTCTCTAGTCTGTCAGCCTACCCTGTAGACTTGCCAGCCTCCACAATCATATGACCTAATTTTTTAACTCAATCAGCCTACACCCCTATATGGATTTTATTTCTCTGGAGAATCCTCAATAATACTGGCTTTAATTCAATTTAGTGTAATTCAACTCAGTTTGTAGATATTTACTGACTTCTAATAAGAGCAAAACAAGATATAGGTCATGACCTCAAGAAACCCGTAGTCTATTGGGAGACCCTAACAAATAGACTGTTATTGTATATTCCTGTGAGGTAAGTGCTATAGTGTATAAGCATAGATTCCAAAGCATACCAGGCAAAGGGATAACCCAACATGTCATACTGAAACAACTCCATTGACCACTAGGAAGACATTCTGTGGAGTATAAATAGATAAGCATTTCCCAGATGCAAGACTATTCACTCTTCAGTGCACTATGAACACAGGAGTTTATTGGTGATAAAATAATAAAGCATTATTTTGGACTTCAAGAGACTCACGTCTAATGAGAGGAAAACAGACACACACACACACACACACACACACACACACCTATTAGGTAGGGAAGAATGAAATAAGTTGTGACAATGTATAAAAGTTTTCAGGAGTTAGAGTAATGAGAAATACGCAGGAGTCAAATAATTATGTAGGCCTTGATTTGAACCTAACCAGTTATAGAATGAACCATTAGATAATGCTGTTTGTGAAATGTTACTAGAAACATAAAATGTGGAGAGGATGATAAGAAGGAAGAAAGGAAGGGAGGAAGGAGGGAAGGAGAAAGAAGGGAAGGAGGGAAAAGAAGGAGAGAAGGAAGAAGGATTGCAGTCACTTTGATTATAGACACATACCACCATGCCTGGTTTTATTAGAATCATTTTCAATACCTTCTTATTCAAATTCTTCATTCCCCACTCTCCTTCTAGATAATATATGATCACCCTAGTTTGCTTTGAACAGGAATCCTGTTAGGTCAGTTTAATAAGAATTCTTCCTATCCTTGATATCTCAGTAATTTTCCCTAACCCTCATCCTTGGTGATAAATATCCAACTATCTTGGCTGTATTTGGAGTTGAACCTGATCTCTCTCTCCTACTATGTTAGTCTTGATACCTACTTATTGCAATAGTCTTGAATAGAGTCTTTCTTACTATTCAACATTTGCTGTTTTTCAGCTGCATCTGGCCTGTAATCCCAGCTATTTGGGAGGCTAAGGCAGGAGGATTTTGAGTTCCAGGCCAGCCTGAGCAATTTAGGAAGATCCTATCTCAAAATAAAAAATAAAAAGGGCTGGTATGTAGTTCAGGCATAGAGTGGCCCTGAATTAGATTACTAGAATCATATTTTTTTCTTTTGTTGGTTTTTTTTTGGTACCAGGGATCGAACTCGGGACCTTGTGCTTGCGAGGCAGGCACCAGAACCACTGAGCTAAATCTCTGGCCTTTTCTTTTGTAATATGATAATCATACTGATACATGAAAAGTGATAATCATCTTACTTATCATGCCCATGGAAAGATTTTTGTGCACATTTGACTAATAGAATTGTGACATGTACAAGATTTTCCCACCATCTTCTGCTTCTAGCTATGACAGAGTTAAGGGAACCAGATTTATCTTCCTACCATAAACAATTTTTTAAAAGGGGCAATATTAGTGAAACAACCATTTTCAGACATTGAACAGTAGGTAGTGTAGGACTGTGATCCTGATAAAAAAGGAAATAAAGTAAATCTTATCATTTCCTCAGCTTTCTTCTCAGAGGTATGTTCCAGACTGGGGAACAGGGAAGAGTGACTGAAAGCAGAGCAGCACAGTGTTGCTGAGTTGGGAAGACCAGAAAAAGTGTTTAAGGAGGCCAAGGCTACTAGAAATTGTACAGCTCTAATTAGGAGAGACTTATCAGGAAAAGAGCTCAGAAATATGCATAACAAAACTTCTGAATCTTTGCTAAATATTGTGTGCATGCAATAGGTGAAGGAAAGAATGACTAGGGACCTGGGAGCTGGAGGCCTGGGGAACTACTAGACCTCCACACAAGGCCAAGAATAACCATAGTGGAGAGTCCTTGATGATCACTTGAGGCATTCAGTAAAGATCAGAAGGGCAACACTTTAAAAGCTGAGTTAACCTGTCCAATGAAAAAGCTATTTTAGACCATCCCTAATAGATCCTAACTATCTTTAAAAGGAACAATTTGAACTTAGGTAATTTAACTACATAGCCATAGGATTTGGCAAGCTTTTTCTATAGAGGGCCAGATAGTAAATATTTTAGGCTTTGTGGGACACATACAATTTCTGCTGCACATTCTTTTTTCTTTCTTCCTTTTAAAACAACCTGGCTAGAATGTAAAACACATTTTTATCTTATGGGCTAGACAAAAGAAGTCATGGGCTGGATTTGGCCCACAGGTGTTGTATACTAACTCCCAAACTAGCAGGACAAAATCTTTATAGGAAGATAACAGAACCACAAACAATGTAACATTCACAATGTCCAACATCCAATTAAAATATTACTAAGTATGCCTACAAACAGGAAAATATAATATATAACCAAGTGTAAAATCATTCAGTAGAAATGGATCTAGACATGATGGAATTAGCAGTCAATTTTTTTTGGGGGGGGGTACCAGGGATCGAACTCTGGACCTCGTGCTTGCGAGGCAGGCAGCGGAACCATTGAGCTAAACCCCTGGCCCAGCAGTCAACTTTTTCACACAGTCATAACTGTATTCAAATATTCATGGATTTTTGTTGTTGTTGTTGCTGTTACCAGGGATCAAACTCCGGTCCTTGTGCAGGCAGCAGAACCACTGAGCTAAATCCGTAGCCTCTGTACTCAAATATTTAAAGGAAAATTTCACCTGAGTGAAAATAGGATATATAAAAAGAATCAAATAAAATTTCTAAAAATTAAATATAAAATTACTTAAATAAATTATATGGGACTAACAACAGATTAGATACTGTAATGAAACACAAAGACAGCAATGGGAACTATCCAAATGGACGCACAGAGATACAAAAGATTAAAATATAATTAACAAAGTATCTACATGGCATACTATTCAAGAAGTCTAATGCATATGTAATTGGAGTTGTAGGTGGGATGGCAAAAAATATTTGAAAAAATAATGGTCAAAAATATTCCCAAATTGAGGGCCAGGGATTTAGCTCAGTGGCACCATGCCTGCCTCACAAGCACAAGGTCCTGAGTTCGATCCGCAGTAACAACAAAAACAACAAAAAGTTAATTAAAAATATTCCCAAATTGAGAAAAGAAACTCACAGATCCAGGGAACCCAATGAATCCTAAATAGGATATCTGAAATAGGAATCAAAGAACCAAATAACAATAGAGTTATGCATTATTGAACAACTAGGATTCATTCTGTGAAATGAATTAGTTGGTTTCTTACTGTGTGTACATCAGAGAGTGCGTCTAAAGAAACCCAAATGGTATAGCCTTCTACACATGTAACATACTGTAATTTTTCTTTATAATTTAATTTCTTTTACTTTATGTCATTTAGCTTAAAACTACACATTGTACAGCTGAACAAAAATATTTCCTTTATATCCTAATGCTTTAAGCTTTTTTCTATTTAAAAAAATTTAATGTATTTGCTTTTTGTTAGAAATTAAGATATAAACATACTTTAGCCTAGTTTTACACAGGATTAAAATTATTAATATCTCTGACTTTTACCTCATCTTGTCCCACTGGAAGGGCTTTAGGATTGATAACATTCATGAAGCTATCATTTCCTATGATAATGTTGCCTTCTGGAATACCTCCTTGAGGATGTGCCTGAGGCTGTTTTACAGTTAATATTTTTTAAATAAGGAGGAATATATTATGAAATAATGATAAAATGTAGCATTATAAATAAAATAGTACATAATCATTTATCATTATCAAGTGTTATATACCATACATAATTGTATGTGCTCTACTTTTATTTTATTTTTTATTTATTTATCTTTTTGTGGTACGGGGGATTGAACTCTGGACCTTTGCTCTACTTTTATATGACTGGTAGTTCAGTAGGTTTATTTATCCCAGTAACAACATAAAGACATCAATAATCTACTGCACTATGACTTTATGATGGGTGTAATGCCACTAGGTAAATAGGAACTTTTCAGCTCTCTAATAATCTTATAGGACCTTTGTTGTATATGAGGTCCATCAATGAAATGTCATATGGCACATGAAGACTGGTACTTCATATGTGGCAAATTATAGGGATCCCAAATAAAATACATTTGTCTTTTACCTTATCTGGTCTTAAACACCGAAGAATTATTATTTTCTGTAGTTCATTTAGCTTCTTATCCATTGGTGCTGGAAATTTTGCATTGTGTGGCTCTTTACTGTCATAGATTTCCCGCCATTCATATATATATTCACAAAAATGTTTCCTGATGGAAAAAAGCTTAATAATTATTGTTTTCATTGAGAAATTTTTTTTTTGGTACCGGGGACCGAACTCAGGACCTTGCACTTGCGAGGCAGGCAGCGGCACCACTGAGCTAAATCCCCAGCCCTTCATTGAGAAATATTTTAAGAGATTGTTGAGAAAGAAGAAACAAGTTAGCTATAGGACCATTTAAAAGTCACTAGGCTGGAGTAAAGACAGGCAACCAAATATAGCCTCTCTGTGATCCAGAATCAAGACACTTGGAAGACAACAACATGGTAAAGAAAAAGAAGCAGACCTTTTTTTCAGGTTCCCGTTGCATGAAGTATTGTTTTCCACCCTTTAATTTTCAGTCTATGAGTTTCTTTTCTAATTAGGTGTGTTTCTTGTATGCAACATGTTGTTGGATCTTGCTTCTTGACCCATTCTGCCAGTCTATTTCTTTTGATTGGTGAGTTGAGACCATTAACATTGATGGTTATAGCTGATATGTACTGAGTTATCATTGTGGTCATTAACACTGTTTCTAAAACTTATCAGAGCTCTAAAGATGTCTTTGATTCCTGTCAATATAGTTTCACTTTATAATACCCGTTAAAGGAGTCTTAAATCTGCTTTAAGAGTAAAAACTAAGTAATAGTACAAAAGTTTCTATATAGCCATGACACTCATTTTATTGATTTCATGGTATATTAAATGTATCTGTGTTTTTCAAGTATACAGGCCTTCAAAGATGTGAAACTAAAAACATTTTATCATACTGATGACTTCCAGGTTAAAGTTATTTATGGTGGTAAAATTTTCAAGCTCAAACATCTGGCATTCCCTTACTTATGTTCCAGCTGTTTGTGATGAAATGTACATGCCAATCCAGCACGAGACAACCAGCCAGATGACACAGATATGTTTTCAGCCTTGTGCTTGTGTGATTGTTATGTAATTGTGTTACAACAGTTAAAGGTACCTAAACACTGTGCAGTCACACAGACAATGTCACTCTAATGATTAGAGATTAGACATTAACATTCTGTAAAGTGCATCTATAAACAGGTACCTTCTACTTAAATATCACTCTGGTAACAAAAATGCTTAAAACATAACAAATTAGGTAAAAAGTTTCTTTATGTCATTTAATATTTTGTAATTAGATAAAGATAAGAGCTATTCTATCCTAAGGTGGACATTTAAATGTGTTTCAGGGATATTAATGTCATCATGATTGTCATGCTAAAATTCTATGTGGCCCTTGACCTCAAATTTTCTCTGTAAAACTTTATAATTGTTATCTGTTCACATTCTGCAGGGATTCAACTTCTAAGGAAACCATGATTGGTAAAGAAATAACAGTTCAGGGTCAGGGATTTAGCTCAGTGGTTCTGCCGCCTGCCTTACGAGCATAAGGTCCCAAGTTCGATCCCCAGTACCAAAAAAAAAAGAAAAAAGAAGTAACAGTTCATCGGTCATACTGTATATTTTTAGTTGCTTGATATCTAGATGAGATCATAAAATTAAACCTACTGCTTCCACATAAAACTGATATAACCAAAGTTCTCTTCTAGGTGTTCAACCACTGAAGTTTTGAGACCAAAACTGGAAAGATAAATGGGCTAAGAGGACAGCCAATATTTTGCCCCTGGCATTCCAAGGTCAACAAGAAGCCAGGACATGAGGGGACCTTTTCTATAAAATCCTACAACTTTAATGAGTCACCAAACCTTTCAAGCAGGGAGATTGTTGGACCCCAGAGAACAGGAGTCAATCAATGCACAGTGTGCTAAAAAGCTGGGTCACCAAACAAGGAAAGGTCTCCCATGCTTTCACAGAAAGCTACATGGTCAAGCAAAACTGTGACCCATCCTGGCGGCTGATGCTGACAAAGGAGCTGAGAGGCTCTGCATATGGTTTAAAAAGTAATGCCTAAAGAGACTTAACTGACCTTGATATATAGCAAGAGGTTAATTTTTTTTTTTTTTTTTGGTACTGGGAATAGAACTCGGGTCCTTGCACTTGCACAGCAGGCCGCGAAACCACTGAGCTAAATCCCCGGCCCAAACAAGAGGTTAATTTTGATTAACATAGATCTCAATTTAACTTGGCCTTAGACACCCAGCAGAAAAGTATAACCAAAAGATGTACCAGAATAATATCATAGTATTAAAGGCTAGATATGTAGAGAGGCTCCAATCACTGACCCCATCTGTCAGTGTCCAATTGCATCTATAGCTGACCAGTTATGGTTCAACAAGGCTAGAAAGCTACAGTGAAAATTATAGAAGCTCACTAATAGTCTTTTTTTTTTTTTTAAATTTAGACAGGGTCTTGCTATATAGTTCTGGCTGGCCTTGAACTCACTGTGTAGTGCAGGCTGGCCTCAAAATATTACTATATTTCTATTATTAGTACAGTTAGAAACAAAGGAGCTGAGTAAGTTACTCCCTTGCCCTCATCTAACCCTAAACAGTACCGGTTATTTCTGCTTTCATTATCCTGAGAGGTACAAAATGAAATAACAAAAGCCTAAGAGATCCCAGGCCCTAGGTGGCAGAGCACTGGCACTGAGAGAGTCACTGGGAGGCACCTAAAGCCAGAGATGTCTGGCCTTAAATTCTGAAAGCCTTAGTTATCGGCCCTTTTCTCTTTTTTGTGTTGCTGCTGCTACTTTTCCCATGTTCTTCAATAAATGTAGCTATGTAGTACTTACTACTAGGTGTACGTTTGGCAATTCTTTTCTTGCTGTACCAAGAACCTATTATTGGCCCATTGCACTGTAACATCATAGTGACTTGAATGTTAGGTTCAAGGCCCCAGGGTAAAAGAAAATTGACTTTACTTTTTGTAATAAAGAAGCTGCAATCTGTAAGATGTTTATACAAAATATTGAACAGTGTGTCTACCAACTAATAAACTAGAAAGAACCATGAAAACACAAACATACACACATGCACACAAATTAACCTATCATTATTCAGTGCTACATCATCATATATAAACAATTACCTGAATCCTTTGAAGGCAGGAAATTCACTTGCTCGACAAATTTCCTCCCAGCTTTTATCCTGTAGCCAAGTTGGATCAGGATTTTTCTCAGCACTCTTAAGACTTACTCCTCCAGTCAAAAGAAACATCAGTTCCTGGTATTCAATCTCCTTTTTAGCCCTGCATTCACAAAGTAAGGGCTGTTGTAAATTGTTGATTTTAAACTTGAATGACATCAAATTTTTCATGATAACTTTAATGAAATAATGGGGACTGTATTTAACCTCTTAACAATTAGAAAATTGGACAAAATTAATGAAAAAAATTGTTTTTGGAAATTGTAAATAGCTAGGGTGGAACAGTGGTGTCTAAGAGAAGAAAGACCAATAAGGTTAACTCCTATAATTGCCTCAGCATCTGCCTAGTGGGACTTGCCAGGCTTCAGAGCAGAGAGGTGGTCAAAATCAAAGTTTAACAGTATTGTTGAGTTGATGAGACAGAGATTAGAATTAGTAAGGGCTGAGGTGGTGGAAATTTGTGGGTAGAATACTTGAAAGGGGTAGATAAGATGAATGGAAAAGAAGTCCCGGAAATATTCATAGAAGTCTCTTTAGACTCCATTGATGAATACTAAGGCAAGCATGAGGAGGGCAAAACTCCAAGAGGCCAGGCAAAGTATGGGAAGAAATAAACTGAATAGTTCTCAGAGACTGCATAGTACTGGGAAATATGAATTGATGCCAACCAGAATTGAGCATTTGTTGAACACCAGAAGAATTTAGTGATGACATGAGAAGGATCGCCTTAATAATGAAGCTGTAGTAAGGTCTTAGAGGTTGCTTTTGCTATAAAAAGCACTGACTTCACTCTGTGTCAGATTCTTGCTCAACTCTGCACACAAACCTGTTAATCATTTAAGGTATGTTTGCCTAAAACTTTAAGTCTGAAGGCATAAAGATAAGAGTGACAAGGATGTTTTCAAGATTTTCAGGGACATGATAATCAGCAGATTGTTCACTGTCAGCTATTACAATGTCCTGACCCAGAACATCTGAATAGTACTTAGCAGTCTGGTCATACCCTAAACCTGGAGGCCTAAGTAACTTCATTTGGACTTTGTTCTTTTTTTCTGAGTCATTCTCTCGTGCAGTCACCTGGGATTCCAGGAGTAACAGTTCTGATCTATAAATATCCTGTGACAAGAGTCAAAAGCATCCTCCCAACCAATTTATGAAGACATAAAAACCCTAAATATTTATATATCTAATAATACAGCATCACAACACAAAATAAATTGATAGAGCTACAAGGAAATATATCTAGTTAGAATTTCCAACATCCACCTCAATAATTGATCAAAAAGTTGACAGAAAATTAATAAGGATATAGAAAACTTACAAGCCAGCATGAACTACTTACCACTCAGAAACAGAAAAATACACATACTTTTCAAAGATATACAGAAAAGTCACAAAGACAGACCATATTCTGGGCTATACAGTAAATCTTGTTCTTAAAATTTCTAGAATAGGAAAACTATGGAGGATAAAAGCAGAGTGTTGGTTTACATGGGCTGAGAATGCTGGATAAAAGCATATAAGGAAAGTTTTTGAGGTGATGGAAATATTCTAAAATGAGATTTTGGTGATGGTTGCACAACTTTAGAAATGTTCTAAAATATCTTACTTGATTCTTAACAATGGGTGAACTGCATGATATGTAAATTATAGCTCAACAATGCTGAATAAAAGAATAAAAGAGTCCCCTACCAAGTGATTTCCACTATATATTATTAATAGAAAAAAATACAAAAAGGCATCTATAACACATTTGGTTTTTATGTTTATATTTGTTTATTTCTTATAATAATTTAAATTTAGAATTAAATGAATGGATTTAGTAGCAGATTAGATACACTTAAAGAATTATTGAAATAGAAGACTAAAAGCTTTGAGAGGCAAAGAAATAGAAAATATAGAGCGTAAGAGACATAGGGAATGGATGAAAGCTTAAACTATGTGTAACTAGGAAAAGAGAGAGAATAAAGCAGTAGATATATTTGAAAAAATTATGACTCCTTGCAAAACAGTTGATACCAAGTAATAGTTTCAAGAAGCCCTATAAATCCCAAATAGAATGAATGAAGATAAAAATATACTATTAGAAGTTAATATAGTAGTGATCACTGGGGAGGAGGCAAAGACTAGTAGAGATTAGGAAAAAGCACAAGGAAGACTTCTGGAATACTAGTAATTTCTATTTTTTGGTGGATGATAATTATATGAGTTTTTTCATTATAATAACTCATCAAATTGACATTTGGGCTTTGATTGCTTTTCTATATGTAAGTTGCAGATCAATTTTTTAAAATGTTAAAATAAGGAATATGTAGGCACACAATACTAAAATATCAACAACTAAAACTAAAGGAAAAAGATATACTGTAAAAACAACTCTTAAAATAAAAGTTACCTTATTTTCATAGAAGAAACAATTCAAAACAGTGAAAGATAAAAAACAATGAATAGTTTTATTATAGACAGCTAAGTTATGTAGAAATATTACAGGCAGTCAGGCAGGGCGAGGCCCTCGAGTGTCAATACAAAAGATGAAAACACATTACAACTGTGGCTAGAGACACATCTATAAAGATGAAATGACGAAGCCTACATACTTCCCCAGGGGATAAGGTAAGTAGGAACCCCTGGTCCAATAAAGTCTAAATAGACATCAGTCACCTTGGTGGGTGACCAAGACCCCTTGGAGCCATCCCTTCCTAAAAAAGTTCATTGCTCTTTCCATATACACTTGCTACGTGACCCACTTCCCCACTGGATCAATATTACCTAAGTGGCTATACTTGTAATCTTTTTAAATGATTATATTTTTGTTCCATGTTGTATCCACCTCGTGATTTTGTACCCACCTTGTGATTTTTCTCTATGAAACTTCCCCTGTGAAGTAGGGTGCATGGTAGCCCATTCAAGTCCCCTCTTGTCCCTTTCAGGAGCTATCTCTCTCAATAAATATTTCCTACTCTTAACCTCTGTTGTTCCTCAGAATTCCTTCTTTGATTTTGGGGAATATGAATTCAGCATATCTGAGTCCCAATCTAGCAGGCTGGGAGTTATATTATTTCCCCTATATCATTTGGAGGTCCTATATCAGTTTCAAACTGCTAAAATAAAATTCTTTTGTTTTCACACAAAAAAGAACTAAGAGAATTCATGACCAGCAGACACACACTAGATGAACTATTGCTGAGTGTTTTTCAGGCAAAACAAAACAAGGGAAACTAAACAAAGAAATGAAAAGCAACAAAAAGGGTAGTATGTAGATAAATTTAAATGAGGATTTATTTTTATCAATAATCAAAAAATATCTTGTGAAATTTAAAACAAAAAAAATATTGAAGGGAAAGGAAAAATTATGAGAAAAGAAAAAAATGGAAATGAAATCTATGTAAATTGGGAAGGGTAGAGGGGGTGAAGGGTGCACAAGTAATGGGGGAAAAAATACGAACCAAGATACATCATGTACAGGTACAAGCACCCAGTGATAAATGTAAACATATTGTATACCTAAAATGCAACAATAAAATAATTTAAGGAAAAAAATTTAAAAATATTGAAATAGATGGCAACAATAGCAAATAAACTGGAAGAGGTAAATTGAGTTATAATGTTTTCCATCTTTGCATGTCTGGAAAAGAGAAGTAGCAAAAGAAAGACTATGATATTAGAGAATGTGTGCTGTAATTTTTATGTTAAATATTACAAGACAAGTAAGAGAATATGTGACTACAAAGATAAAAGAGAAGAAAACATGAAAAAAAGCTAAAAATCAACTTTCTCAGAAGACAAGAAAAGGACTTCTAGTTTCCAGTCCAGCTTCTAAGGAATTTAAAAGTCATTAATCCATTCCTCAGGACAAAAATTTTAAAAAGCCAAACAAACTGAAAACGAGCAACTTTTCTAAATACATTAGAGAATTAAAGTCATAGCATTAATTTGTTACCCCAAATTTGGAGAAACACACAGGTAGGCAGATACAGAGAACCCCAAATTACCTGATAACAAGAGGGATAATGAAACTTAGGTTGTCATTGAGGCACTTGAGACAGTTCAGAGAAGTCTGAGATTTAAAAATTCCAGGTAATCCAGAATTAAGGAACCCCACCCTTTTGTAAATTTTGCCTCCAGGACCCTTGGGAGGGTTTTACAGTGAAGATCACTGGTTCTGGTAGTGAGAGGAGATTACCTTAAACATATTCTGTTCTTTAACAAGGGCCTCTCTTATGTTAAGAGACCCAGGGGGCAGGAAAGGAAATACCCAACTCCAGCCTTCTGTATCACTTAAGAGGAAAAAAACCCCAAACCCAAACTAAAAACCAGAAGCACTGGTGAAGGGCACAGAGCAGAAGCACAAGCTCACTAAAAACCTGAGAAGTAATCTGAGGAATACAGAAGGCTTTTCTTTCCATCACACTGTAATATCATTTCCATTGGATTTCTGTATAATAATGGGAATATAACTGAAAGAACTGGATGCCTCAGACATTGTTTCAGAAGTCTCTAGGGAAACCAAAAGACAATAGAGGAGACAAAACTAGAAAACTAGAAGAAATTTCAGACTCTGATACCTATAACTACAATAAAATAAACACAATCTAACTCCTAGTCAGATAGACATAAAATCTCACATTAAAGGGCTATTTATTTTAATTCCCTTTACCCAGTACATGATATATGGCTTTGAGAAAACCTCACAAGGCATACTAAAAGACAAAAGCAACCTCTAAACAAAGAACTGAGTTTGAAGGGACAGAGCAAACATCAGAACCTGATGCATGTCTTTTAGTAGTTACTCACATATACCAGAAAAAAGAGAGGAAGACAACAATGACAACAAAGAATAAGGGCAATAAATAGAAAATAGTAACATATGGTAGAGGTTATAATTATATCAATAATCAGTTTAAACAGCGGTCTAAAACTAAAAGACTGTCAGAGTAGATCCCAAAACAAGACACAAGTATATATATATGTTATGGTTTATATCTAAAATGCCCCCCCCAAAAGTCTTTTTAGAGGTGGGGCTTTTAAATGATGACTGGAGTAATCCATTAATGATTTTATGGCCATATGTTCTGTTAGAAGGTGGGACCTGGTTGAAAGAAG